CCCCCCCCCCCCCCCCCCCGGCGGGAGCCTCGTGGACCGCCGTGGTGGCCGGCGCGCCCTGCTTCAGCCCTTAGCTCGCCAGGGCGGCGGACGCGGAGCTGCTGAATGGGAAGCGACCCGAGCGCGCAGCTATTGGCCGGCGGCGGGGAGGCCGCGCGGGCATTGGGCAACGTAAGGGGGCCGGTCCGCCTTCAGGAATGTACTACGGCGCGTCCGGCACGTCTGTCCGCGCCGGCGGGGAACGTTTCTCACTTGGGCTCCCAGGAGGCTGAGCTGGAGGCGAGAAGCCTGGCTAGCGCGGGCCCAGCGCACCGACCCTCTTACCTGTTCGCCCGGGGCCACGCGAGCACGCGAAGTCCCGGGGCCTGGCGCGCGCGCACGCGGACGCACCCGGACACGCGCGCGCGCGAACGGGCCTCCTGGCCCCGAATCACGTGATCGTGTGGGCTCCGCCTTCTCCCCCGCTTCTACCCCCCTTTCCCTCCATCTGGGTTTCTTTCTTTCCTTTCTTTCTTCTTTTTTTTTCAATGAACACACACCGTGTGCATCTTAAAGCCACACTGTCCCATTTCACGGCTTCGGTCGGCTTCTCGCTACCGCGGGTCTCTGTACTTTAACCGGGCCTTAAAACAAAACAAAATAATAAATAAAAATAAAATCGAAGCAGAATGGAAGGTGTGTGGTTCTAGCCCCTACCGCAGGGAGGAACTTAACTTGCCAACTTGAGAAAAGCACATTCCACTTTCAAAAAAAATACAAAGTAGAGCCATGTAGACAGTTGAAGTGGCCCTGAGATGCGTATTAAAGGATTGCGTGTTTTCTGTGTCAATGAAAATTGAGTCCTAAGGCTATCTTCGTGACACTGACCGCAGTGTCGGGGCAAATCCTCGCGAACCGCGCACAATTTGTTCGGAATGAACGTAACTTCAAAGCCCTTATTCTCCCCTATGTCACACTATTATTAAATATAACAGGATGCATACGGCTTTTTGTGAAAAATCCGTTTAAAATGGACTTTATATAAAGATGTGGTTAATAAAAGCGGAGGGGGGATATGCTCCACTACAACCCAAAATGACCAAACTTTTCTTTCTCAAGGAAACCCGTTTCTCAGAGGGTTCTTATTTTCTCCTTTACTTGTGTCACATTAAAAATTTCAAATAAAAACGTTTCTGCCTCCACGAGACTGCTTCGGTGTCTGGATTTCATGTTATAGAACACTGACTCCGTCAAACCAAGACTGCGGTCGTGGGCTTTTTTTTTTTTTTTTTTTTTTTTAAGGGAAAGGGGGGGTCCGGAGTTTTTAAAAGGGTGGCTTTTCCCAACGTCTTTGCTTTCCTCTTTAACTTTCCATTTTGTTTATCTTAATGTGAGGCGTTGTTCCCCGCGAGAGCCTAAGTCTTCCCTTTAGTCAAAAAAGAAAAGAGGAAAAAAAAAAAAAAAAAAACCTGGCACACACTGGCGCACTATCCACCACCCTGTCATTATTGGTGCAGGCCTGGGAATTCAAGCCGGACCTCCCAGTATTTTCTGCAGCTTGAGGCCAAGGTGCCTCTGAAAGGCTTTTCTTTGAGGAATTTTAGAAATTGTTTAAGCGCTTAAAAAAATATTACATTTCCCCCCATGTCTATCTCGAAGCAAATGCTCGTGTGTGCGTGTGTGTGTGTGTGAGCGCGTGTGTGTGCGCGCAAAAGTCGTCTCACAAAAAGAAGACACTGTTGAAAAGAAAAGGAGTAAGAAAGAAAGGAGGGGGGAGCATTCCTTAATGGAAGCATTGCATGCGAGAAGGTTGGCGCTCTCGGAGGCTCCCCCCGAAGCCGGGGATGCACACACTGGGGTTGCCTACCTGGGTGGTCTCTCTACTTTGGTGAGCTGTTGCTAAGCAGCTAATAATAGTCATGTTTGCTGAGTAATTTCTGCCCTCCTCGAGCCAATCGCGTCGCAGAAACCCAAGCCATCTGACAGCCCCGGGGGCGGGAGCTCCAGCCTTTTTCTCTTTCGCTCGCTCTCTCCCCCTCCACCCCCTCCCCTCCTCCTCCTCTTTCTCCAAATGGAGAGAGTTCTTTTTTTTCTTCTTCCATCTCATCTATTGAATCAAGGAGCTGCTGCGGCCGCTGCCCGCTGCACACACACAGAGCGGAGTCCCCAGGTCCCGGGAGCGAGAGAAGCGCGCTGCGCAGGGGCAGAATGGTCCAGCGGGTCGGCGAGCAGCAAGAGAAAGCAGAATCGGGGACCGAGCAGCCACCGCGAACCCAGCAGCCAGAGCCCGAGCAGCAGCTTCTGGAGCCGCCACCGCCAGCCGCAACAGCCGCGGTCGCACGCGCG